CCCTAAAACACTGTTAACAGAAACTCTGACAGACCGTCTATTATTGGATTAAGTGAATATTAGTGAAGATTACGTGATCCTGTGAATGTCTCTGTGTGTAAGAACTCACTTTTTCCTGGTCTGATTGTGCGTGTGAATGAGGCCATGACGGTAGAGGAACTTGCACATGACGTAGGGCTTGAGGGACATGTGGAAAGGTGAGCGGGTCTCCTGACGCTCAAACAAGTCAGGGTGGTTGCAGAGCTACGCACAAACATACGCACAGTTGGAGTTCAGGAATCAGCATGTTTGTTTTGTGCAGCCAAGTCATTGTTCGGATCAGACTAACATTCTCAACAAATGGTAAATGAACTGGTTCTTATACAGCACTTCTACTCTACTTGAGCAATTAAACCGCTTTATACAACATCTCTCTTTCACCAATTTCACACAAACACACATTTAAGAGTTCCTACCCAATAGCCACACATTCACACTCTGCAGAACGCATCAGCAGTTCAGTATTTTGCACAAGGACACTTTGGCATGCAGGTTGGAGCAGCCAGCCATCTTCTGATTAGCAGATGACCTGCTCTACCTCCTGAGCCACAGCCAACCAAAATATAAGAATTAATATAATTTGTTTTTTAAACCCACTATACCTTAATAATAACTAAATAGGTTATGTTTACATCAGTGCTTGTCTGTTTTAGTGCCAAAAAGTAACAGGCCAATTTTCAGCGGCTGGAGCAGCATTACGGTGCTGATTTAACAATTACTTTAACAATCCTGTCACGAGCACATACGCCAGGGAACTGCTTAGGGTCCAAGGCTTTTAAAGGGCCCCTAAAGAACAATTTGTGATGGCATCTATGTGAAAATGGCCCCCTTTCTCTATGAATTATGCAATTTAGGTCATATGAAATAAAAGATTTGGTCCATTTTGTATATTTTGGTTATATTGGACAGAAAAGAAGATTACCTAGGTTCTGCGCATTGCAAAATGACTTTGTGATTGGCAATTCGTTTGTATTATTATGTGCTGTGTGATGTAACCAATTTATTGTTCAAACATCCAAACATATGCGTAGCCATAGTCTTATTTGTCGTTCTTGAATATCTAGTTATTTGCTGAGCGTATAGGTCTCTTCAAGTGCCCTTCTAGTTTTCATACATTTTTAGCATTGAATACCATAAAGACAATAAAATATGGATCAGAGCTCATACCTTTCTAAACTGCATGACCAGATTCATGAGGGAGGAGGTGGTGCTGTGAGCCTGCTGGGCCGTGCCCATCGAGGACTGCAGCAGATCCTCGATAGAGATCTTGTTTCTCAGAGCCTGGTAGAGCAACCTTTGCCGGGAGGTCAGCTGACAGTAAGTCAGGATCTCAATCTGAAGAAGGTAAGGAGAGTTCAAACATTAAAAAAAGAAATATAACTCACATAACATACATGCAGAATAATGCCTCATTAAAACTGTACTGCAGAATCATTGTTCTCAACGAAGGATGCTTCATCATGTGTAGTTCAAATTAACTTTACATTGTCCCCTCCTCTTTGGTCAGCCGAACAAAATGGTTTTGATTTTTCTGAGTCAGCATTACTATCCCATTAGAACACACACAGTGTTTTCCTGTGAGCATAGCCCAAACTGTTATGTGAGTATGGACTTCATGCCATTTGCCCAACAGTCTTTAAACAAACATTCAAATCTCTGGTTTTATCTTGTGCCACGCTTTGATGAAAGCCGTGAAACCCAACGGTAACGATCCATAAAACCATACCGTGAACCACCAGTGAACTTTCCTGGTTAGTATTGGCTTTCAGTGTTCTGACAAAACAAAGAGGAACCAGCGGAGAGCGGAGACGTGAGGGAAGTGGGCTGGCAGGACTACATGTGGGTGCAAAGGAAAGTGAAAAAGACAGATGTGGGCGAGTGGTGAACTCTGTCATTCCTCGAGACTCCCACAGAGCATGAGCGACTGCGTGTGTGCGTGTGTGACCTCGGGTCCAACATCTGTCAGGAGGATCTGCCAGCACAAGCATCACTCATACCCTCATTACAATACTTTCTCTGTCAATGAGGTGTACAGAGAGACAGATGGAGGAAGGCTCCATGTTTAACCAGGAGAGGTGACAAGCATGGCTTCTTACTGACACAATATGGTTGCATTATAGCTGAGAACTGCTGTATAAAATGCAATTACATACAGATCT